GGCCTTCAGGGAGATGGATTGATACAGTGGCTGCGATGATGGGCTCAAGTATAGCAGGGATTGTGGGGCTGGCGCGGGATCAGGCAGTGTTTCATTCTGCTGTGCATGGGGTCGCTATGAGTCAGAAATGACTCGACGGCACTTAACAACAACAACAATAACATAAACAACAATACACAGAAGCTGCACAAACAAAGAAAAGCAAACTCACTGCCATCAAGTTGGATCCAACTCACAGAGAGGTCTCTACCCCTCTTTTGGGTTTCCAAGGTGGTATCTCTATGGAAGTAGATCACCCAATCTTTTTTCAGATTTGAGGAGTGGCTGGTAGGTTTGAACCACCAGCCTTCTGGTTAACAGTCAAGTGCTTTAGGCACTATGCCACCAGAGCTCCTACAGGAGATGCAACTGCATGTCATATCCTGAACCAAAAACAAATAAATAAATAAATAATAAGCTGACTGCTGCTTCACATTATTTTAGAAAAAAATAGAATTTTTTAGATACTATTTTATGAAATTGCTTTTTAAATCAGTTATGAGAGAGAATAGAAAGAAATATGTAATTGTACTGTCTTGCATAGTGCCAAAGACACTTGACTGCTAACCAGAAGGTTGGTGGTTCAAATCCACCAGCCACTCCTCGGAAGGAAGGTTGGGCAATCTACTTCCATAGAGATACTGCCTTGGAAACCCAAGGAGGGGTTGCTATGAGTCGGAATCAACTCAACGGCACATAACAGCAACAACGACATATCATTACCTACATGCTGCTATTGTTATGTGCCATCAAGTTGATTCCAACTCATGTTGTTGTTAGGTGCCATAGAGTCAGGTCTGAGTCACAGTGATCCTACGTACAGCAGAACAACTAACTGCCCAGTCCTGTGTCAGCCTCACAATCCTTGCTATATCTGAGCACATTGTTGAAGCCACTGTTGTCAATCCAGTTCTTTGAGGGCCTTCCCTCTTTCGTTGACCCTCTACTTTACCAAGCATGATATCCTTCTCCAGGGAATGGTCCCTTCTGACAACATGACCAAAGGAGGTAAGATATAGTCTGGCCATTCTCACTTCCAAGGAGCACTCCAGTTGCATTTAGTCCAGACAGATTTGTTAGTTCTTCTGACAGTCCATGTCACTTTCAATATGCTTTGCCAACACAACTCAAAAGCATCAACTCTTCTTCAATTTTCCATATTCATTATCCAGCTGTCACATGCCTATGAGATAATTGAAAACACCGTGGCTTGGGTTTGTTGTTGTTAGGTGTTGTTGAGTTGAGTTGGCTCCAACTCATAATGGTCCCACGTACAGCAAAACAAAACACTGCCCAGTCCTGTGCCACCCTCACAATCTTTGCTATACCCGAGGCCATCATTTCAGCCACTGTGACAATCCATCTCATTGAAGGCCTTCCCCTTTTTTGTTGACCCTCCATTTTACCAAGCATGATATCCTTCTCCAGGGAATGGTCTCTTCTGACATGACTGAAGTAGGTGAGATGAAGTCTAGCCATTCTCGCTTCCAAGGAGCACTCCAGCTGCACTTCTTCCACAACAGCTCTGTTAGTTCTTCTGGCAGACCATGGTACTTTTCAATATTCTTCACCAACACCACAACTCAACAGCATCAACTCTTCTTCAGTCTTCCTTATTTATTGTCCAGCTTTCACATGCATATGAGGCAATTGAAAATACCATGGCTTGGGTGAAGTGCACCTGGATCTTCAAAGAGATATCTTTGCTTTTCAGCACTTTAAAGAGGTCTTTTGCAGCAGATTTGGCCAGTGCAATATGTCACCTGATGTCTTGACTACTGCTTCCATTGGTGTTGGTTGTGGAACCATGTAATATGAAATCTTTGACAACTTCAGTCTTTTCTCCATTTACCGTGCTGCTGCTTATTGACCTTATAGAACAGAGTAAAACTTCCCCCATGGGGTTTTCTGGGCTGTAATCTCTACAGAAGCAGCTTTCTAGGTCTTTTCTCTCACAGGGTGGCAGGTGAGTATGAACCACTGGCCTTTTGATTAGCATCCAAGCATTTAACCATATTCATTGTGCCACCAGAGTTCCTACATAGTTACATTTACTGGGATTGATTTTTGTATGTGTAGATTTGAATTATTGTCTGGTGTTATTTTCTTTCATTCTGAAGAACTTCTTTTCATAAGGCAATCCTGCTTCACAATGAATTATCTCCATTTTTGTTTATCTGGGTAGGTCTTTATTTTGTCAAGATAGCTTTCTGTATATAAGATTATTGGTTGACAGGGTTTTTTTGTTTTTGTTTTTAATAGCACTTTGAATATGCCATGTCATTCCACTACCCTCTGGTCTCAATTGTTTCTGATAAGAAGTTAGCTGTTAATCTTATTGTTATTTCCTTGTACATGATGAGTCATTTTCCTCTTGCTGTTTTCAATAATTTTTTTTTTTTTTTTTGCTTTCAACATTTTGATTATAATGTATCTGGGTGTGGATCTTTTTGCATTTTATTCTACTTGGAGTTTATTGAGCTTTTTGGATATATACATTGGTATTTTTCATAACATTTTGGGGAAGTTTTCAACCATTATTTCTGCAAATATCTTTTCTGTCCCTTTCTCACTCCCTACTCTTTCTGGTACTCCCATTATGTATATGTTGATGCATTTAATGATACTCACATTTCTCTAGGACTCTATTTTTCTTCTTTTTTCTTCAGATTGCATAACCTTTACTGACCTAGCTTCAAGTTTGCAGATTCTTTCTTCTGCCAACTCAAATCTACTGCTGAGTCCCTCATTTTATTTGCTCTTAAGATGGGGCAGTCATAGGCATGCACACCATCTTCCAGACCACCAGGATGAGTGATTCTATTTTTAGGCCTGGAGACTTCCTGGCAGTCCTCTCTGGGTCAGAGTACCTTATTATTTGGCCAGAATTTTGTCAGAGGTTAGCTTAAGCCCTTTGACCCAATGAGCCTTTGGCATTTTGCTGATGGATCTGTGCGTGGCTCAGGGAAGCTCCTGAATGGGCTCAGCCTAGCATGTACACAATCTCCCAGACCTCCAGGGATGAGTGTGATCCCAGAGGGCCATTCTTGGCTGTCTCTTTTCCTGGTTCTCTCTGTTAAACTTCTGGATGGAAATTTACTACTAATACTATGGAGCTACTAGTCCCCTCTCGATTGCTGGCCACCAAGATATTTATTTATTTATTTATTTGATTTAGATCATTCCTCTAGACATGAACTTCTTCAGGCTCCATTCCAAAGAAAGCTAGTCTTCTACAGGTAAACTCTCCTGTGGTCAGCTCGTCCCTCTGGGAAGAACGCCTACATCACTGTGCCATAGCTAGGTTGTTCTATGAGTGGGTTCTTGGGGGTGGGAGCCCCAGATCATCTCATCTTGCCCCTTCCAGTGTGGAACATCTCCCTACAAGTAAGCCCAGACCAGGGCAATTATTGACTTGTCGCACCTGGGACAGAGCCTACTATTGGGTGCTGAGTGGAGTGGGGGACCTAGGTTCTCAGACATGATTGCCTAGAATAGCATTCCCACAGCACAGAGATGCTGCCAACCTGCCCTTCCCAGGGTTAAACCATTAGCCTTAGACTAGGAGCTGAGGGAAGAGGAAGCCCCATCTTCTTGGCCAACACTACCCAGCGTAGAGCACTTAGAGTTACCAGCACATAGAGTGGGGGAGTAGCGGATGGGAGTCTGTTGTGGCTCAAACACCACAACTCCCTCTATTCTTTCCAAAACAGTGAATTTTCTTGACTACATGTTTCTCCACTTGCCACATACCCACAGGACAATTTCCAAAGACTTTAAATTGTGGGGTTTTTTTTTTGTTGTTGTTGTTTGTTTTGTTTTGTTTACAATTTTACCAGTTAAATGGCTGCTTTTCTGAGGAAAGCATCCACTATCTTCTTCATACTATCATTCTGGAAGTTCCACCTGTTTACATATTTATGAGTTAGAAGGAGCTTCAGCTTATAGAAAAAAAAAAATCTTATCATTTTGCTTTTCCCTCCTTCTGGCTGGGACCAGCGTCTTCCCTCACATCCTTACTTACAGGTGAAATAACCAATATGAAGACCCAAGTCTCTCCCTCTCTCCACGGAGCAGCAGAAATGGGAAGCCAGAGGAGAGGCTCTAGACATTCACGCAGTGAAAGACCTGGCATTGGTATGGCATCAGAGAGCACATGGGAATGAATTCTCTGTGAGGGAGGTGGCTGATGCCAGGAAAAGCGAAAAATGGGAGGGAAAACGGGCAGAAGGGAAGCAGGCAGCAGGGATGGGAGTATCACATGGGTTTCTCCACAAATGTGGATAGGGCAAGGGGTGGGTTGGTTCAACTAGAGGCCCAAAGCCTGGAATCCTCTCCCATATGTAAATGGGCCCCTGTAGATGCTCATTCAATGGTATTTTACTTCTCTCTTCTCTTCCCTCAAAATACACTGCTTTCTCCAATCTCTCTCTTTGGGGAGACATGGTTTATTTAATTCAGAGAGTAGAAACAGAGAGAGTGCAAGAGAGAGAACCAAGCCCAACAGGGCCATCAGACTCAAACTAAGATGTCTGTCCCCTGCTCCCGGCCTTCCTTAGTCCTGATCTCCTCCATGGGCCAAAGGCTCTTTTCCAGTTGTCCCAGGGACACCTTCTCTCAGGGGACAGTGTTGTAGACCCTGTAGTCATCCTTCTGGGTGATGTGCAGCTTCCAGGGGAAAAGACGTTTCTGGGAGGGGAGGCCTCGAGCCCTCTTCACCATGAGCCTCACATCCTCATCCGATAGCAGCCGAACCAGATCCCCCTCTGTGTCCCGGTAATTCAGGGCGATGTCCTCCTTCTGGAACTCCCGCCTGGGTGGGAAGGCCAGTGAGGCAGAGTTAGCCAAAGGTCAAGAGGAAAAGCCCGGGGACCTGGCCCTAAGTGTGGTGGCAGAGAGTGGGGGCAGGGGGAGTTCTGAGGCCTGGAACTAAAATCAGAGACAATCACAGCTTGACACAGGCATTAGAATTGGAGCAGACCAAGTCCCATTGTGCAGAAGGGAAACTGAGGCCTAAAGGAGAAAAGGCACTTTCACAATAAATTAGCAGGATAGCCTGCAATGTCTTGTGCATAAATATGCTGAAGAGTTAAGGAATGTCATAGGGCAGGAAGAGTGAGTTTGACTGCATCCTTATAGACTGGAACACTATAAAGCCCCTGATAAATATTAGGGAGCTCTGGTGGTGTAGTGGGTAAGGTATTTGGCTGCCAACCAGAAGGTAAGCAGTTCAAGCCCACCAGCTGCTCCAGGGTTAGGAAGATGAGGCAACCTACTTCCATAAAGATTTACAGCCTTGGAAACCCAGTGGGGGTCACTATGAGTCGGAATCGACTCGACGGCAGTTGGTTTGGTTTGAGAGATAACTGTGTGCAGGTCCTGAGGAGCATAATTTTAAGGTCTGTAATTTTCTCATGTGGGGCACAGGAAGATGGGCATTCTTATACTGGCTGGAAAGAGTAAAATTCAATCCAGTCTTCCTATAGGTAAGTTGGCAAATGGATCAGAAGCCTGACCTACAAATTCCACTTCTGGAAACATTCCCCTAAGGAAATAATCAGACAAGTCACCAAATTTGTGAACAAAGATGGTCAGTCATCATAGCATTATTTATTTAAAAAAAAAAAAAAGAAAACCAGTTGCACCCAGTTGACTCTGACATGGCGACCTCATGTATGTCAGAGCTGAACTGGGCTCCACAGGGTTTCCAACAGCTGATTTTTTGGAAGGAGATCACCAGCCATTTCTTCCGAGATGTCCCTAGGCAGACTTACCTCCAACCTTTTTATCAGCAGCTGAGCATGTTAATCATTAACCACGCAGTGACCCCAGCATTGTTTAGAGTACAAGCATTATAGACATCCAACTTACACACAACACCATAGCTATGACCCTCTGTAAAGCCTATCATATTAAAAATTCCAGGTACAGATTAATGAGTCATAACTAGAAACAGGTGCTACTCTGTGATGCACATTGAAACACAATAATTATTATTATTGTATTGTGATGTTAAAGATATTTCACTGTAGCTAGAAGTATTTCTTTGCTTTTTATGCATAGAAAGATATACTATGTGTTATATACTAAGACAAATATTTGACTGACATTAGATATGAACCACAAATAATTGTTTCAATTTACTTACAAATTCAATTTAAAGACAGATTTACGAATGGAACTTGTTCTTAATCTGGGGACTGTCTATAGTGAAAAAAAAAAAAAAAAAGGAAGCTAGCTTAAGTAGCCAACAAAGAGGATGACTGCATTAATTTCAGTAAAGCCACCAACTGGTGCCCAGCAGCCAATTAAAGTAATGTCTGTATGTGCACCCTGAACAAGTCTGAATAGACACCAGATAATAAAATGAGTAAAAAGGTGGGATGATCTCACTTCTTCATTCATACCCTTCTGTGATTGCTGACTTTTTTTTTTTATAATGAGTAGGTATTACTCTTATAGTCAGAAATGGAGCAATGCGTCTTCTGCTTTGTTAAATAACAGTCCAATAATGAACTGGATCTTGAGAGGTGGTGAGTCCCCTGCTGGCTGAGGGTCCAAGTCTAAGGTTCTCAGCATGAGAGACTTTGGCTCTGGCTGCAAATCTCCACTCACTAATGGGGTGAGTGGAGCTAAGCCCCCTTACCTCTTCTCAGCTCCATGGCTCCTGTCTAACGGGGACCATGAAACCTACCCAGGAGGACTGGAGTGTGGATGAAACAAGAACGCAAAACACCTCAACCAAAAAAACCCAAGCCTGCCACCGTCGCGTCGATGCTGACTCACGGGTGGCACAAATGATCTGTGCTCTACTGCTGACCTAAAAGCTGGCGGTCAAACCCACCCAGCGGTGCTGCCGAAGAACGGCCTGGCGATCTGCTTTCGTAAAGAAAACCCTGTGGAGCAGTTCTGCTCTGTAACACAAGGGGGCGCCAGGCCAAACACCTTAATAAATCGCATCTCTCCCTCCGCTCTCCTCTCCCCCAGGGTATCTGACCCCTCTGGTTCTGCCCCCAGCCCCAGCCCTCTCACCTCATGAGATCCATCAGGTCTTTAAACAATGGAGTGCTGCTGAGGTCTTCCTCCACCGCGATGTCCCTAAGGGGGCAACGGGCAGGGGTGAGAGGGCATCAGGTTGGAATCAGGCTGGGCCCTGACGTCTTGTGATAGTGCTGTGGGTCACCTGGAGGGCAATGAGAGCCACTGCAGGCTTGGAAGTGGGAGGAACAAAATGAGATTGGGTTTGGGTCTCGGAGTCTGTGTGGAGTGGTGGGGGGCTAGGGGGATGGGCAGAGGCTGGGATGGGCAAGGAGGCTGCAGCAGCTCCTCCTTCCCAGCAGCCCACCCACTTGATGGTGCTGATCGTGTCTTCATAGTAGTAGCAGCGCAGCCAGTTGGTGAGGTCGTCTTCCTCAGGGAAGTCCTTGATGATTTTCACAAAGGACAGTGGGAAGATGCCTGTGGTTCCCCGGACAGTGCCCTAAGGAGGACGAGAAGAGACCACCCCCTTGGCATGTGAAGGGGCAGTAGGGTCACACCTCGGAGCGCCTGGTCCTTTTGCAATGTTGGGAAAAGGCAGATGAAGTTGGGGTCCCCTGATGTAGAGTGAGGAGAAGTGGTCAAGTTCACAAGTGGTTCACCCCAAGAATTGCATTTCTGTTAGGAAATGGATCAAGGCCTGAATGGATTTGGAAAACTGCATTCATCTCACGCATTCACTCACTCACTCACTCATCCATTCAACAATGCCTGTGTGAGAGCCTGTGTGGCAGGCGCGGGGCACACAGCAAAGACAGAAGTCCCAGGCAGATCCATGAACTGTACAGTGAGTCCGAGGGGTGGGCATAGAGGAGGAGAACTGGGCAGGGGAGAAGCAGAGTGAGGCAAGGGGAGGCCTGTTGGCGATTCCCACTCAGCCATTCGTTCCACACATACCACAGCCCCTCCTCTGGACCAAGCAGCCCGAATCCCCTTCCCCAGCCTAGACCTCTCTCCGACCTCCAACCAAGACCCAGCCCCGCTTGTGCTTTGGGCACATTTTCTCGTAATCCTCACAGTCACCCTAAGGGAGAAGTAGTGTTTACTCCCCATTGTACAGAAGTACAAACTGAGGTGCAAAGCATTCCCCTTTCTGCTCCCTTAGCCCTCTCCTTAACCAGTATGCTGCTATACATAGTGTTGTTGTTGTTACATGCCATCAAGTCGGCCCCGACTCATAGCGACCCCTCCTTAGGTTTCCGAGGCAGTATCACTATGGAAGTAGGATTGCCCAACCTTCCTTCCGAGGAGTGGCTGGTGGGTTTGAACCGCCAGCCCTCTGGTGAGCAGTCAAGTGCCTTAGGCACTGTGCTACCAGAGCTCCTGATATATATAGTACTTCCCCCAAAACAGGAAGGCAGCGAACATTTTCCGTTTCTGGATACCACTCTAAGAGCTGCTGAGTTCCTGAAACAGAGATAGAGGGTGGGTCAAACCTACCCATAGTACTTTGCTCCCCTCTAGTCCTCTACACCAAGGATCCCCCTGACCCTCCTCCTGGTGGTCCCAGGGCCTCTGGGGGCTGGCCCTGCCTGGGGCTTTGCCCCAGAAAGAAATCTTGTTAACAAGAATTTACCCCAAGGTTTGGTTGTAGAGAGTAGATAAACAAATGGGAACGGTTTGGCAACATACAGGCACAAATGTGTATCTTCCTCTCCACTCCCTTTCCAAGTCTCAGCTTCCTCATCCATAATGTGGGGGCAACGATTCCTGTCTCCACGGTGGCTGTGAGAACCCCGTGTGGAGATCAACGGGACATGCCCAGAGGAGCAATTGTGGCTGAGTTTTTTTTAGCATTTTCGCTAAAGTCAGCCAAGGCTGACACCCAGCCTGGGCCTCCCACACGGTGACAACCTATCTCCATTAACTGAGTCAATAGAGAGCCATTCTATGGACCACGAGTGCTGGGACAACGCAGCGACCAGGACAGGCACCAGCTTTGGAGGATGCCTGGTGGAGGGTTTCATCTCCCTGCCCCAAAGGGCCACATGGGGCCAGACATCATGCAGCCGGCGCCCCCTTCAGGTCAAATCCTGCACTTGCACCCCCTCAGTTAACCCTTATGGAAACCCTGTGAAGAAACGGTCAGTGTTATCTCTGTTTACAGGAAAGGAAACCAGAGCTGAGTAAGCTTCCAGGGTCACAAAACTAATTCAAAGCAGAGCAAGGATGGAGCCAGACAGGCCGACTCCAGAGCTCACACTCTTAAGTACTGTCTTTTATTATTATTGTTGTTGTTGTTGTGATTTGGGTAAAAGTTAAGTACTATCGTTTTTACTGCTGCCTTCAAGATACATAATGTTACCCCCACGTTAAAGCACGTTCTCAACAGGGAGTGAATGTCTGGAGACATATTTGATTCATAAGCCTGGGGGAGGGGGTGTGTTGTTACTGGCATCTAGTGGATAGAGATTGGGGACACTGCTAAACATCCGACAATGCACAAGACAGGCCCCTAACAACGAGGAATTATCCAGCCCCAAGTGTCCACAGTGCCAAGGTGGAAAAACTCTTAGGAACCAAGACGTTAGACTCAGTAGGTTAACTGACTTGCCTGGCACCCTGTTTTGGGGCGTTAGAATCGAAGGCAGGTGTGTCAGCTCTGGTGTCTTCTGCTCTCACCACATGCCATCCCTCAGTTTCCCACTCCCACCCCCACCTTGTGCCTCCAGTACTATCTCTTCCCTGAAGTCTTCGCAGCCATCCTTGGCCCCTCCACCCCCTCACCTCCAGCCAGTCCTTGTTGATCCGACTGAGAAGGAAGATGATGTCTCCGGCTTTGAAATTCAGCTCCAGTTTGCTGTTCCCAGTGAAGTCAAACAGGGCCTGGGAGGGAGGAAGGGAAGGAACCATTTTATAGATGAAGAAACTGAGGCTCAGTGAGGATGAGGGACTTACTGAGGCCACCACATTTGTTTAGTGGTGGAGCTGGGATTTGAACCCAGGTCTCCCTGACTGCAGAATGGTGCTCTTTTCAAGCCTGGTAGGATGAGCGTGGAGAAGGAATGGCAACTCTTTGGACTGTGCACCTTCCCTGGTCCCCCCTCCTCCCTGCAGCCACCAGCCTCCCTGGGGGCCTCCATAATCCCCAGCTCCTCTCTACAGGGGCACTGGCCACACTCATTTTGAGTTGAGCCTTTGTAAGTCTGTGTCGCCGGGGACTGTGGGTTCCTTGGAGGAGCCCTGCGAAAGCTTGCTGCATGAATGGATGAACAGACATCTTCTCCCCGCCTCTTTGCAACGTTCCCTCTACTGAGCTGGGGTGGGTGGGGGAAGCCTCAGAGGGAGAGGTTGAGCCCTTTGCCCCTCACTAGCAACCAGCAGCATCCTAGGCACGTAGCTGGGCCCAGCACGGAGGGACTAACGGTTGACCAGCGAGCAGAGGCTGTGGGCTGAAGGTGGGAGGTCAGGAGGCTTGGACTGGGCCTGGTACCTCTGCTCGCGGAGCTGCCACACGGTCGAAGCCTGGGCCTTGCGGGGAGATGCTCTTGCTGTGGAGAGAAAAGAGGGGTGTGTCAGCCCACCTGACTCTCTCAGGGCCTGACCCCCAGGGGAAACCCTCACGGCGGCGGGGGGAGGCAGGGGAGGGGAGATGCTAAAAACTCAGCCACAATTGCTCTTCTGGCCATGTCACACATCTCCACACAGAGTTCTCACAGCCACGTGGAGACGGGAATTGTTATCCCCATTTTACAGATAAAGAAGACTTGGAAAAGGGATGGGAGGAGGATTATGTATGTCTTTTGTGTCTGTAACTTGCCAAACTGTTCCCACTTGGTTTTCTGCTCCCTGCAACCAACCTTAGAGGTAAACATCACTATTCTAGGTCTTCCGCTGAGCAAACAGAGGCCGTGGTGGAGGCGGCTGGGACTTGCTCAAGGCCCCACAGCTGCCCTGGGGATCAGAGCTATGTCTGCTTTTGATGTCAAAGCCTGTGGGGCCTTGGCCACTTCAGAGGCCAGGCCCAGGGAATGCCCACAAATGTTTGCTGGAGGAAGGAGAGGGGCAGGCTGGGAGGGAGGTCAGGGACTCAGGAATACTCTTCCCTGCTCTTTCTGGAATTTTGAGCAGCAGAAACCAAAAACCAAACCCACTGCCATCAAGTGGAATGAGTTTCCAAGCTGTTCAACGTCCTTCCACAGAGCTGCTGGTGGGTTTGAACCACCAACCTCTGGTTAGCACTCGAATGCCTTAGGAACTGCACCACCACAGCTACACTTTTCGGCTCCTGGGATTTTCGGTGTTTCCTGCATCAGCTTGTGTTAAGCACGCAGGCACGCAGGGGGTTCTTTGGAGGGACACTGCACAGCGTCCCCTGGAGGCCAGTGTGATATAGCAGGGGCCAAGCTGCTCAAGGAACAAAAACAAACCCGGGACTCTCTATTCCATAGATGGCGGGACTCCTTCCTCCTCTCCCTGCCCCCACCCTCTCCAGCACCCAGATCCCTGAGGCCGTCCCCGGGGCTGCTGTGGACCAAGCCCTTCCTGGGTAAAGTCTCAGCACCTGTCCTCCAGCTCTTACTGTCACACACATCAAAACGCGCCTCTCTCTGCCCCTCCAGGCCTCGCTCTGGATTTCCAAGCTCAACCGTCTTGTTCGGGGATACAATGGATCTGGTATCCTCCTCTCCTTCCAGGGGACAGAGCTACTTTTCCATGGGGGGCCTCACTGAAATAACGAGGCTCAGGGCTCAGGCGCTGCGGAGAGCGGACTGACATACTCACACTTTCCGGGTACGCGGGCGGAGCCGGCGGAGAGCCTGGGGCACCTGCTCAGAGTCGTAGGGCGACTGATAAAAAAAGATCCGGACATCCTCGTCCATCAGCACCCAGACTGGCAGGCTGAGCAGGCTCTGCGTTTGGGTGAGAGGGTAGGGCGGAGTGGGGGGGGGTCCAGCAGAAAGACGTGGACATACCAGCCTCCTTCGCCTTGGTCTCCCTCTCCCTACCAAGGCACTGTTGGGTGCCACACCACAAACAGGATATGCATTTTTAAAATCTCAACACATTTCACAAACTTTGCCCCTGGGTGCAAGATCAGGAGGTGAACAAGTGGCTTGAGCAGTTCCTTTGGACAAGACACAGAGGTGTCCAGAAATAACCATGATGTATGTGAGGACAGGCAGTGGGGCCCGGTGAGGCTGGACAGGGGACCATGTGTCTCACATGTGTTACCTCACACCCTCACAATGACCCTATGAGTTAGGGTCAGAGAGGTGCAGGGGCTTGTCCAAGGCTACACAGCTGGTCAGTACCAGAGCAAGGGGCATCCAGAGCTGTCTCTTGTCAAAGTTTATATCTTAGCTCAAGATGGTCTGGCAGTGGAGCAAGGGTCCCACAGATAACTCAAATTAACAACAGTTGGTGGTATTATGGCTTAAAAAGTGCTTCCTGACATTTCATCTCACATCGCAGTTGAGGAAACACTCTCAGAAAGGCTAAGTGTCTTGCCCAGGGCAGCAGAGCTAGGAAGGGGTGGGGTGGGCACTGGGTCTCTGGACTCCTCACTTTCCTGTACTGGTCACTCCTGACGGACACACCCCTCACCAGGCAATAGCCTGGATTTTCATCCATTCATAGGCCTTGGAAATTGAAGATTTCTACCAACTTCTGCAGTCTGAAACTGACCAAACATGCAATCTACATGTGTTGATTGTCACTGGTGACTGGAATGCAAAAGTTGGAAACAAAGAAGAGTTGCTGGTACCTGGAAAATATGGCCTTGGTGATAGAAATAATGCTGGAGATCACATGATAGAACTTTGCAAGACCAACGACTTATTCATTGCAAATACCTTTTTTCAACATAAACAGTGACTATACACGTGCACTTCACCAGATGGAGTACACAGGAATCAGAGTGACTACATCTGTGGCAAGAGAAAATGGAAAAGCTCAGTATCTTCAGCCAAAACAAGGCCAGCAGCTGACTGTGGAACAGACCATCAACTGCTCATATGCAAGTTCAAGATGAAATTAAAGACAATTAAAACAAGTCCACAAGAGCCAAAATATGGTCTTGAATATATCCCTCCTGAATTTAGAGACCATCTAAAGAATAGATTTGATACATTGAACACTAATGACCGAAAACCAGAATTGTGGGATGACATTAAGAATAT